TATACTATAGTTAACAACGATATTTCATATGTTCCTCATAAAAATGAAATAAAAACATAGTAGAACATTTTGGTCGTTGTTAATAGAATGTGATGACCTATATCATTTCTTCATAAAAACAAGGACTAATTTTAACAAAAAGGGTGATTTATACGTAGGAAAAAGGGTGATTTATATGAGGAAAAAAGTTATCAATATAAATCACCCTTTTTACGACGAAAATGTTTTTATTTAATTTTTATGAGGAAAAAATTTATCAATATAAATCACCCTTTTTACCACCGATAAACCTCATTGTCCTCCACCGATTGAAAATAGACGCCTCATTTGTTTTGGATTAGGTGTTTATTTGCCCTACCATTGCTTTGGTTTGGCATTAATTTGTTCTGTTTGGTACCTGTGCTCCACTCATATTTGACATGTGTTCTTCATATTCTATTGTAGTATCAGTTCCTAATACATCATCATGAAAAAAGTATAGTATAATTAGCATTTTCCTATCAAAAATATGTAGATAAATTAAGAGAAGACGGCCTGTTTGCTACAACTCGGAACAATTTGATAGATTTATTTCACATTTTGATTTTTCTTTTATCTATGACGTCCTCAGACTCACTGTTCAACCGCGTCGTAGCCGTAGCCCTGTACCCGCTCCTGAAAGAGAGCAGCCAGCTCTACTACGACCTCCAGGAGGTAATGTCCGTCTTCGTCGACCGCTTCGAGGACCTCCAGCACCCTGACCGCGTCCGCGTCTTCGACATCTTCACCGGCCTCTCGAAGCAGCTCGACGACCTCGACCACTTCTACTCCTGGGCTAAATCCTCCGGCGTCTTCCGCCCCTCTGATCTCCCCACCGTCGACCGCGTCACACAGCAGAAGCTCGGGCTCATGGACGACTTCATCCGCCAGCGAACCGACCTTGATAAGAACCCCTCGGCCAAGAGCCTGCAACAGCTCACCGACGAGGAGGACGCTCGGCGAAAAGCTGAGGTGGCAGCGGGGAGGATGCCGGAGAGGTACTCAAGGCGTTGCCTGCTCCCGATCCCAAAGAGGAGGAGGAAGCCGTTCAAGAAGAAGAGGAGGAAACGACGGAAGAGCCTCCTCCGGATCCTTTGGCTATCGTAAAAGTAGTCGAAGAAGAAGAAGAGGTTGACTTCTTTTTTTTGGTCAATGAATTAATTTTATTCCATTCACCAAAATGAAACAGTTATACACATCAAGATCTCTTCAGAGAGATAACTAAAAAGAAAACATCAACTTAACTAACCAACCTTACAAAGATAAAACCCAGTCTCTATTTACCGCTGTAATGGAACTGTTCATGTAGATGGTTAAGATATCAATTTTGATATTCCTAACCACTTGGGATGCTGTTCTTGATTTCTGCTGAAAGCACCTGAGATTTCTCTCCCTCCAGATACTATATATAGCCGCCGAAATTGCCATCCTCTTCAAATTCTGCTTGAAGCCATTTCCTCTAAATTTGGTAGAAAACCAATCTATCAGTGTATTCCACTCACAGGCTTGCCATTCAAACTTAAGCCATTCCATAATAGGTAACCACACTTCTCTTGAAAAGGAGCAGGTAAAGAAAATGTGATTTCTGTTTTCCAAAGCAGTCGAACACAGATAACAAGAATTTGTGCTAATAATACGTAAAGAAAATGTGATTTCTGTTTTCCAAAGCAGTCGAACACAGATAACAAGAATTTGTGCTAATAATACCTCTCTTCATCAATCTTTCTTGAGTACAAAGCAGTCGAACACAGATAACAAGAATTTGTGCTAATAATACCTCTCTTCATCAATCTTTCTTGAGTAAGGAGTCTGTTTTGCACTGCCAGCCAAAACACAAATGTATGTTTTGGGTAATTTATCTTCCCCCATACTGTATTGAACCAGGGCACCTTTTGAGACAAGTGGGAAAATTTTGCGTAAACTGCTGACAGTTTAATTTTTGAATTCTTATAGCATGAACTCAGAAGCTCCAGCAAATTGTCTACTCCTCCCAAAATAACCAAAGCTTTATTCCTGGCTTTGATGAGTTGTTTCCAGCACCACGAGTCCCCAGTTTTTGCATTGACATGCCAGATATCTAAATGAATTAGATAGTTCCCATGAATCCATTTAACCCATAGCATTTCCTTGTTTACATGAACATACCATAAGCTTCTTAAAGCTGATGCCAAGTTCCATAAGGAAGCAGAGAATACACCCAAGCCTCCTTGTTTTCTACCACTGCATACTCTATCCCATGATACTAACGGAATTCTAAGAGAGTTCTCAGATTTTTCCCATAAAAACTTCCTACATAACTCATCAATCCTCTGAGTTACTCTGACAGGGAGAATGTAATTCGATGTCCAGAAGTTTTGAACTCCTAGAATCATACTTTTAATCACTTGAACCCTCCCTGCATAAGATAGGTTGTCATGCTTTAACCAACTTTGAAACTGGCCTGAAATTTTCTCTATAAGAGGATTACAATCCTCACATGAAAGCCTTTTACTGATCAAAGGAACCCCCAGATATCTAAAAGGGATTGTGCCTTCAGTGAATCCCAGGAACCTGTGTATAGCCTCTTTGATAGAAAAATTCACACCCCCATAATATATAGCACATTTATCCAAATTAGCTTCCAAACCAGTGGTCGCACTGAAGTCTTTAATGCACTGAAATAATTTTTGAACTGAGTACAAGTCTCCTCTGGCAAAAAGAAGTAGGTCATCCGCAAATATGAGATGAGTTATTTTGAGCTTTTTACACTTTGGATGATATTTGAAAGAACTGTCATATTTTAAAAGATCCAGTTTTCTTGACAAGTATTCCATGCCCAAAATGAATAGGTATGGGGAAAGGGGATCACCCTGTCTTAACCCTCTTCTCCCTTCAAAATATCCATGAAGAGAGACGTTTAGAGAGATTGAGAACTTAGGAGAAGATATGCAAGCCATGATCCAATTCACCATTACTTTAGGAAACCTCAGTCCATGAAGCATTTCTTTCAAGAATTCCAAATTCATTGTGTCAAAAGCTTTACGAATATCAATATTTAGCATGATTCTAGGTGAGATGTATTTCCTGGTATAATTTTTAGCAAGCTCATGAGCTAAGGAAATGCTGCTAGTAATCTGTCTCCCCTTGATAAAAGCACTCTGGGCCTCATTCACAATATCCCCCATAATTGGTTTAATCCTGTCTGCTAAGATCTTGGAAATAAATTTATACAGGCAATTGCAGCAGGATATAGGCCTGAAATCAGATGGTGATTTAGGACATTTTACCTTAGGAATTAGGGTGATGGAGGTAGAGTTGACCATTCCCAACATCTTCCCATTCTTGAAAAATTCCAGAATAGCAGATGATACCTCATCCCCAATCACAGGCCAAGCTGATTTGTAGAAAGCCACCCCATATCCATCAGGACCAGGAGCTTTATTTTCATCCATGGAGAAAATGGCCTTTTTTATTTCTTCAATAGAAACTGGCCTAGATAGGAAATTTGCCTGTGTATCTGATAAGCAAGGTCCTGCTTTAATAACCTGAATGTCTGGTGCAACAGTGGCAGTGGAAGCCCCCATCAAGCTTTTGTAATAAGCTACCAGCTCATTTGCAATCTCATCTTGATCAGTTATTCTTTGTCCCATGTTATTATAGAGCACCAACACTTTATTATGATGTCTATTTGATTTTATCCTCGAATGGAAGAATTTTGTGCACCTATCCCTTTGAACACTCCATTTAATCCTAGCTTTTTGCTGGAGGAAAGAGATCTCACACTCCTGAAGTTTATTAAATTCAGTTATACACTTTTTCTCTTCCTTAATGAAAACAGGATTGAGAGGGCTAGACTGGAGTTTTTCCTGAGCTTCATCCAGTGCAAATTTTGTTCTTTGAACTTGCTCACTGATGTTGAAAAAATGCTTCTTGTTAATACCTTTGAGAGCTCCTCTTAGATGCTTAAGCTTCATGCAAACTGAGTACATTTTATATCCCTCTATCTTTGTTTGCCAAGTTGAAGTGACAGCTGGAAGGAAACTATCATGATTTGCCCACATATTAAAGAATTTGAAGGGTTTTTTTCCACCTGGACATTCCTCAAAAAAAGATACTAGAGCAGGGGAGTGATCAGAGAAATTAGGGAGTAAGAATTCAACCTGACTAGATGAATACGAGTGAATCCAAGCATCATTGACCAGTGCCCTGTCCAATCTACTCCACACCCTTGAGTCTTGATCTTGCTTGTTATTCCAAGTATAAAAACAACCAGTTGTTTTAAGATGGTTGAAACTGCAATCTTCAATAAAATCTCGAAAGTCTTTAAAATCAGCTTCAGCAAGGATAGATCCTCCTAACTTTTCCTCATTACTGATAACAGCATTGAAGTCACCACATAATAGCCATGGTCCACTTCCAATTGATAGATTCATCATTTTCAATTCCAGCCACAAGTTCTTTCTTGCTTGCATTTGATTTAAACCATATATTGAAATAATGGTACAGTTAATTCTCCCATCCAAGGATTGAACTTTGCAGGAGATACTTTGATCTGACATCTTGATAACTTGAATATCCAATATATTTGGATTCCACATAATCAAAATCCTAGCTTTTCCCTGATTTCTCTTGATAACTTGAATATCCAATATATTTGGATTCCACATAATCAAAATCCTAGCTTTTCCCTGATTTCTAATATTAGATAGCCAGTTCCAGTTTTTTGCAATACTTTTTGCAGCAATCTTCAATCTGTTTTCTCTAATTTTTGTTTCAAGTAAAGCAATGAAAGAGAGATGATACTGAGATAAGAACTGCTTAACTAAATGCTGCTTAGAGGATTTATTTAATCCTCTCACATTCCAAAAAGATATATTCATCATTGTCTCCCCCCCCCCTCTATCCAATGTAGAGGGATCAATATCCAAAATATCTAGGTATGAAAAAGAATTAGTTGGGATTGATGACTTCATGTGTTTGCCTTTTTGAATATGTAACCATGAGCTACTGCCCTGTGTAGTACCCCCAGATCTGTGAACATTTCCAGTATTGGCTAGATTTTCATGCACCAAAACATGCACAGACTCATGCACAGGCTTTTGACCAGAAGCTGTAGACCCTTGCAGTTCTACCTTCCCATATTCACCCACTATTTTCTGCTTTGAGGTAACTTTTACTTGTTGCAAATGATGAGAGCACCCCACAAATCCATCAGCTTGTTGATCAGAATTTTTTTCCAGATTGTATAACAGGTTCATTTACAGCAGACTGAATTTGCACATTATTGGCCTGGCCTTCCTGTCTATGAGAATCATGTATATCATTAACATTCTCCTTCTCTACAATACCAGATATAGAAGTTTTCTTTGGAATCCATCTTTGAGTTCTCATTTTATTCCTGCAGAATTGTGTATCATGCCCCACTAACTTGCACTTTGGAATCCATCTTTGAGTTCTCATTTTATTCCTGCAGAATTGTGTATCATGCCCCACTAACTTGCACCGATTACACCATTTGGGATTTAACTCATATATCACCTTCTGTATGATTTGTTTCCCATTAGGACCTTGAATGGTGATTTGGTCTGGGAGAGGGGAGGGCATATTAACCTCAACCAGTACTCTTGCGTATGCCAAACGCTGCCTATTTGCTGTTAACCTGTCAGTAGCTATGGGACACCCAATAGCACTAACAATCTTACTAATACTTTTTGCATTCCAAAGATTTAATCTCAAAGCTGGAAGTTATATCCACATTGGATATACACAATCCCTAATTTTGTCAATATCATCTCCATTAGACCACGGCTTCAGCAATAAGGGTCTTGAACCAAAGAACCAAGGTCCCTTACTCAGAATTTCATTCATATCTTCTTTATCTTTGAATTTAAACAAAAAAATTCCAGGTTTTAGCAGACAGACTTCTGGCATTAACTGCTTCCAGACTTTTTGCACAAAAACTTCCATGGCCTTGAATTTGACATTTAATCCCAAAACTTGACCAATTAGAGAAGATTGCCAAACTGAGATATCTTCATTCCATTCATCATCATCAAAAATTATTGTATCTTTATTTTCAGGTTGAACATAGCTTAGATTCATTCCACTTCCAATTTTCCTATTATCAGAAAACAGGCTAACCCAGCTTTTTGCCATTTTTCCCCTGTTTCATTATCAATCGGGGGTAAATCCTTATCTTCTTTGTGTTTTTCTCCTTCCAAGACACTGGAATCCACATTCTCTCTACTTAACATTTCATTTTTACTCTTTTCTGCATTCAATGTAACAGTAACCTTCTCTTTTGACAGAATCGTTTTATGCCTTGAATCACTAAACGATTTCTGAATCTCATGATTTAAAGAAGAGTTAACAGAATTATTACCATTTTCCATCTCATCCACCCATGATACCCTAGTAGATCTACCAGATCCAGGAATGGGAAGACAATCTGACTCTCGTTCAAGCTGATCCACAGAATCACCTGGTAATCGATCTACACACACTCGATCTTTCACAGGATTGGCAGAACTCAGGATTTCCACCATAGATCTAGTCTTCTTCTCCCCTTTTGGTCCAGTTGAACCCATTTCAATGAAAACTTCATCATCATCTTCACTTCGAGCATCAGGATACTCCTCAGAGATAGCTGAATTCGATGTAGATGCTCGCAATCCAATCTCCAGGATTTTTTTCCCACTGATTTTCTTCTTTTTTGCCATCAAAAACTCAAAAAATCACGGCGGGGGAGCAAGATAGCAACCAAGGAATCGCCTGCTATCTTGCACCATAAGACCGCCCCTTTTTCTTCTGTTTTTTATTTGAATCAATCATGGATTATTTGTATCAAACAATGGAGTTATAGCAAAAACATTATTTCATCATGTTGAGCCATCAAAGAAGATCAGCATTCATTTGAATCCAATGATGGCTCAAGGAACTTTGGTTGAAGGATGGGAAGTTAGAGATCAGAGGTTGACTTCTTGAATACAAGAGACGACGCTGTGACCGTCGACCGCCGTGAGAACGACCTTGCGCTTGCGTTGTTCGACGGAACAACCGTCGCTCGTCCAGCGGCGCCCGTCTGGGAGGCGTTTGCGGACGAAGCGGATTGGGAGACTGCGCTCGTGGAGTCGGCCAGCAGTCTCTCCGGGCAGAGGACGGCGCTTGGCGGGGGATTCGATACGCTGCTGCTCGACGGGATGTATATATGACATACCTTCTTAATATTGTGAGTTCTTCTCTTCATTCTAACTATCACTAGTGTACGCTTCATATACATGCCTGGTTTTTGCAAATGCTTCGATATTGAAATTGAAGCATATGATTTTTATGGTTTTGCATCTCAGTAAGTACTTTCAAAGGATATAAATGAGCGTTGCAAGGGTAATATAAGCCTTCCATAAATGGAAGCTAATTGGTTGCATATAATCTCTTTTTCTTTGTTCATTGCTTTTTCTGCTTAATGCCTTTGGAATTCTTGCACCCTACTCTTTAGAGAGAGGTCATTTTTGTAACTTTGGGATGGTTTTCGCAATTCAAATGTTACGTTTCAATACCCAATGAAGGCATGATCTCCTTGGTTTAAAAAAAAAAGTCCTCTAACTTAGTTACTACTTTGTAATTTAAGAGTAGTCCGTAAAATTTAGCCAGCCAGGTGGTCTGGAATTGCTAAAAAAATTAAGAGTTGTATTTGTAACACAAGGATAGTTGTTATATGTATATACTAATCATCGTGGAACTTCTGAGACGATGATTAGTTGTTATATGTATATACTAATCATCGTGTAGTAACAACTTTTGGCTAAGTAACATATGGCATATTCTATCAAAGAATATTAAATTATATACATATAACAACTAGGCTTTTAACACAATGAATGAAATTAAGAGTTAATATTAAATTATAGCCTAGTTGTTATTTGTAACACAATGAATGAAATTAAGACTTAATATTAAATTATAGCCTAGTTGTTATATGTATATACTAATCATCGTGGATTCAGCGATAGTCTAAAGTTGTTAAGTGCTATATCCGTATATTAGTATCTGTAACACAAGGATACAATTTGCTGTACTTGCATTCTAATATAGGAAGACATAAGCAAGTTGTATTTGTAATTTGTATATGAAACTAGTGATAGGCTAAGTAACATATGGCATATTCTATCAAAGAAGAGTGTGTTATGAAGCTTTGGCATTTATTTGGTTAATCAAATTATATAGAAGAGTGTCTTATAAAATTAATCATGGTCATGTTCAACCTCTCATGTGCCTTGGGAAGCATTTCATTTAAATATATTGAAGGCAGGTCTCTGAACATTTGACAGTTAAAAATAGTCTTACCAACCGTCCCATTATCATATATAACGTAGATAGTTTGAATAATTTGCTAGTAGTACTAAATTATCTTATCATAGCTCTCTTTACCCAGCATTTTGAACAGTTCTAGATTTTTTTCATTAATTGGCATTGTAATACCTCATTCAAAGTTGCTTCCATCACTACCTAATAACTTGCGATATATGTCTTTTGTTTTGAACAGGCTCTCTTTTCTGATAAGATGTTTAGTCTAGCAATTCCACCATACATTGATGTCAGCGATGCACGCGAGGAAGAAATAGTATCCCCTAATTAAGTATGACAAGTTCTATGGAGAAGGTATCTTTGAGTGTGCTGGTTGTGGAACTCCACTATATAAATCTACTACGAAGTTCAACTCTGGATGTGGATGACCAGCTTCCTTATGTGATTTTCTCATATATTAATTGGATGCATGAATAAAGAGGCATCATCTTGTTTTACATTGTAATTTGTTGTCAGCAGAATATGTATTTTCACTGTCTCTTACTTTGGATGCTAAGGTAAACATTGGTTACAAATTTCATGGCGGTCGACGGTCACAGCGTCGTCTCTTGTATTCAAGAAGTCAACCTCTTCTTCTTCTTCGACTACTTTTACGATAGCCAAAGGATCCGGAGGAGGCTCTTCCGCCGTTTCCTCCTCTTCTTCTTGAACGGCTTCCTCCTCCTCTTTTATATATATATATATATATATATATATATATATATATATATATATATATATATATATATATATATATATATATATATATTAAAATTTCTAATTTAGGGATTTACTATCCATTTTCAGCATCTAAGAATAGTCTAAGTTGATACTGGTAAACAAAAACAATAAGAATTGATTAAAAACATCCGGTTAATGGATAAAATTTTTAAAAATATTATAGATTAAAAATTATCGGCACTATATAAATTAAAGTAATTTCATATAATTTTAGTAATAAGTTGGGGTAGCCAAAATACATTCGTAACATTAATTGATAGATGTTTAAATCCATAGAAATGATAAAACACTATAATATTATACCTTAGCATTAATTGATTTTAATTTAGAAACTTTAATCTTTGACGTTAATAATATTTATAGGGTAAAAGAATACAAGGAATTACATATGGAGAAACTATTAGAATATTTAGAGATAACTTTAAAAGAATTGAGTTATTTCCATTGCAAATGGGAAAGTGATGGAAATAAATCTAAAATTCAGAAAACGTCAATGAATCACTTGAATTGGCATTAACATAAGACATATCTATTAATGAAGCACTGAATGAGTTACATTAAAAAATAATTTAATAACTTTATCCTAATCAAAGAAAAAATCTCCATGGAAGACATAAGAAAAATTAGTAAGTATTCATAAATTCCATACTGTGTTCTTCAAATTAAATATTAATATTATAATCTAAGAGAAATTGGTAATGAATAATGCAGGTATTTAGTTTAGATCTTTATGGAAAATGACAGGGATAGAGCAAAGGTAATATTATTGAAATAACAGAAATTCTTATTGGATGCACATCAGAAGAATTCATTTTAGAGGAAAATAAAGAGATAGCTTCTAATTTATTTAAGTAATAAATTAGGAACACAAAGAATTTTATATATATGAAATTAATATTTATTCTCATTGAAATAGAAAAAAAATCAAAGTCTATATTTTGAGCAGTTTGTGTTGAACATCATAAGTACATTTGACTTCTTTGTAAAGTTAAATGAGATGATAAAAAATTAACGAGCCTAGGAAAGATAATAGCATAAAAAATACAAAATTAGCCTGATGTCACAATTGATGTAGATGATGAAGACAATACTCTAGAATTGTCCGAGAAATGATAAATGATAAACCTGAAGAAGGATTGATCTTAACTCAATAAAAAATAAAATAGAAGAAATAAAAACAATATTTTATGAATATTTTATAGAATAGTTTAATTATTTTGAGTGAAATTAGGAATCTTTAGAAGGGAGTTTCATGAATTTTTTCAGTACTTTTATATTCTTATGTGGATGTTTTTATCATATAAAAGTATACTAGAGTTAGCATTAATCTTTAATTTATATTTTTTTATGAAGTCTATCAATGATTAGGAATAAACTTCATATTCTCTTTTGCATCGTTTTAACATACTTTAAATCAATCATTTTGCCATATTGGTTTTAAATATTCACCTTCCTTGTATAACACTATTTTAATATTTTTCACTTTGCAATGCTATACTTTCTCAAATAAAGCTTAGTTTCATATCGGTCAAAAATAATATGAAAATTCAAATTATTTTTAAATTATATTTGTTTTTTGTCAATTCAAATATCAACATGAAAATTTAAATTGGGTGTATCACATTTAAACAAATATAAAAAAATAATCGGGATGTGTCTATTGTCCACATAAGTTCACTTCTAAATCTAATCAACCCGCCATCTATTGTGTCTGCTGCCTAATTTGCATGTGAATAACATCTAGTTATTCTTACAAGGATGGGGTGGTTTGCACCATAAAAAGTTAGGAGTGGGAGAGAACCAAATAATTAATAAAATAGTTCGTTAATTGTTGGCAGATTTGGTATTTGAATTTATTGATGAATACAAGTTAACTAGGTTTGCATTCGATTCGTTTGCTTATTAGATATTTGTTTAAAATTTGGTCCCTTGTAATTTGCATAATTACTCTATTTATAAAAGGATTATCCAAGAAGGGCAACAAAATAAATACTCTATTTATAAAAAAAATAAAAAAATAAATGGAGGTGTTCAAGTTGTAACTACATAGATATGACTAAAAGTATGGGACGACAATCTAAAGTCAAGGAAGTGAAACTTACAATTTGATTTTGTGTTTGCTTTGATTTAAAGATATACAAGATGTAAATGCATTGAGAAAGAACAATAACATATGCAAAAATTTGGACGAATACACACGTATTATATTGTTGTACAAGATGTACAACAATATAATATGTCGTCGATCAAGACTTGTTAGTGACAGACGTAAGATTGATTCAAAATTTTCCTTTTCTTATTAGCAAACACCTAATTGATTTCGGTTTCAATATTGGACCCGTATGAAGAAAGAACTAATGATTTGTGATGCGGTCCAGAATGGTTCTAGTTTTTTTTATGATTTTTTTTTTTTTTTTGTTATTTTTTGAAAATCTTGATTGGAATTGACATGGCCTAAGATGATAAGTTTGAAAAAAAATTATTAATTTCTTCGTAGTCTTCCAAAGAAAATTGAAATGAAGGGGAAAACAATCACTGAGTACTGAAGAAAAGTCATATTACACAGTTGAAAGTGAAATCAACACATAAACACTTCGGAGAGAATCAATCAACCTGAGAAAAACTTATGTCAACTTAAACGGACCATCCATCAAACTTTCTATTCATTGATGATACCTAGGGATCCATGCAAGATATGAAGAGACTTTATATATATATATATATATATATATATATATATATATATATATATATATATATATGAATCAATCAACCTGAGAAAAACTTATGTCAACTTAAACGGACCATCCATCAAACTTTCTATTCATTGATGATACCTAGGGATCCATGCAAGATATGAAGAGACTTTATATATATATATATATATATATATATATATATATATATATATATATATATATATAAACACTTCGGAGAGAATCAATCAACCTGAGAAAAACTTATGTCAACTTAAACGGACCATCCATCAAACTTTCTATTCATTGATGATACCTAGGGATCCATGCAAGATATGAAGAGACTTTATATATATATATATATATATATATATATATATATATATATATATATATATATAT